TTAATAGCTTCCTTAATTCTACTTCACATGTTCAGTCTTTATTAATATGTAGAACTCAGTTCCATAACTATTTTGCTGTCTTTGCTAATTCTGTCTGTCACTTCTTGGTCTATAGTAACATTGATTTTTTTTTCCTCCCCATTAGAATGGTCAGTACATCCCTGATTGTTTGCATGCCTGGCAAATTTTTATTGGGTGCCAGATATTGTGAATTTTATTCTGTTGAGTGCTACATTTTTTATGTTGATAAATGTATGAATACTTTGAAAAGTTTTTTGGAAAAGGGACTTAAAACATAAGATTGTTTTGACACAGACATTTTTGAAATTATGCATACAAAGAGTCTCAAATTCATGGAATGTGTTTTATGAAAAAACTGGATGCATTTCAAAAAATTTTTATAACAAAATGAACTTACATATAAACTACATTTTCTGTGAACTTATTATTTTTGAGCTTTGTTCTGGGACACAGTTAAATTACTTTTCATCTTTCTGTGTCCTGCTTTTAAGGTTTGGGTTTTGGGAGTAGAATAGCACTTAGTGGAGTGCACTTATTTTCCTTGTGGAGGCAAGACCCTTCTGAGTACGCTGTTTTTCTGTGAAATGAAGCTGTTCAGTCTCGCTCTTCAGATTGGGAATTATTCACACGTCTTTGTGAACTCTGAGCGGTCATCCCTCTTAGCCTTTCAGGTTATCTTACCATAATTTTGCTTGCTTATTTAAAAACTTACTATTTACTCATTTATTTGAAAGAGCAATTTATTGGTTGTTCTCCCATCTACTGGTACACTTCCCAGATGTCAGAACAGCTTGGGCTGGACCAGGCCGTATTCAGAGCTGAGAACTCAGTCTTTTGTTTGGATGGTGGGGGCCCAACTACTTGACCTATTACCTACTGCTTTCTAAGGGGGCATTAGCTGGAAGTGAGAGCAGAGCCAGAATTCAAACCCAGGCACTGTGATACAGAATGTGGGCATTTCTAGGGGGCATCTCAGCCACTATGCCAAAATGCCTGCCTCTTTGTTTATTTTTAAGTTGGCTTATTTAGGGGCCAGCATTGTGGTGCGGTGGGTTAAGGCACTGCCTGCGATGCCAGCACCTGCATTTCAGTCTCAGCTGTTCTACTTCAATCCAGCGACTTGTTAGTGTGCCTGAGGATGTGGACGATGGCTCCAGTACTTGAACCCCTGCCACCCATATGGGAGACCTGGGCAGAGTTTCAGGCCCCTGGCTTTGGCCTGACCAGGTCCCAGCCATTACAGTCATTTGGGGAGTGAACCAGAGGATGAAAGATCTTTGTTCCCCCCCAACCCCTTTAACTCTGCATTTCAAGTAAATCTTTTTTGGGTTTTTGTATTTTATTTATGTAATTATATATATATTCAGATTAAGTAAAATAATTTTTAAGGTATATACTAGTGAATACTGAATAAATTTAAGAGTCAGCAATTGGTATTAAGAGTCTTCTATGGGGCTGGTGCTGTGGTGTAGCAGGTTAAGCTGCCACCTTAAGTGCCAGCATCCCATGTGGGCACTGATTTGAATCTCTGCTGTTCCACTTCAAATCTGGCTCTCTGCTGTGGCCTGGGAAAGCAGTAGAAGATGACCCAAGTCCTTGGGCCCTTGCACCCATGTGGAAGACCCAGAAGAAGCTCCTGGCTTTGGATTGGCACAGCTCTGGGTGTTGCGGCCAATTGGAGAGTGAACCAGTGGATGGAAGACCTCTTTCTCTCTGCCGCTCCTTCTCTCTCTGTGTAACCCTGACTTTCAATAAATAAATCTTTTTTTTTTTTTTTAAGGGAGTTTTCTACTTTTGTCCCTAGATTCTTTCCCTTATGTTCCCAGTTAGGGTGCAGCCTTTCCAAGTGGCATTGTAAACCTTGATGTTAAAGTATCTAAAGATTCTAACAGCGTTAATGCACAAGATCTCCCAATTGTAATTTTCATGTAGTGCTTATTATTGTCTAGCATGATGTTAAGCTCATCTTTGAGAACCAGTGTTTTCCCGTTCAGTCTTTGCACCCTACGAAAATTATAATTTTAGCTGCTCTTTGGATTTGAGTTCTGAGTTTTATTTTTCTTCTTCCTTTCATTCGTCACAGTTTCTATTCTAAATATTTTTTTCTTTGTCTTACTAGGTGGCTCAACCTATGTTTACTTATTTGTGTAGTTATTTGTGTGTGTGAGTTATTTTTATACCACAGTTTTAACTTCTTAGGGAGAGATGCTTCATTTGAGTCTTTTGTGATCTTTAAAATATTTAGCTTCTCTGTATGCCTCATTTGTTTGAAATGTTTTTAAAGATTTATTTATTTTTTTTTATTTTGACAGGTAGAGTTACAGAGAGAGAGAGAGACAGACAGAAAGGTCTTCCTTCCGTTGGTTCACTCCCCAAATGGCCGCTTCGGCCAGCGATGCACCAGCCCGAAGCCAGGAGCCAGGTGCTTCCTCCTGGTCTCCCATGTGGGTTCAGGGTCCAAGCACTTGGGCCATCCTCCACTGCCTTCCCAGGCCACAGCAGAGAGCTGGCCTGGAAGAGGGGCAACTGGGACTAGAACCCGGCACCCATATAGGATGCCGGTGCCGCAGGCAGAGGATTAGCCAAGTGAGCTGCAGCGCTGGCCCCTAAAGATTTTTTATTATTTATTTGAAAGGCAGAGTTAAGCGGGGGGGGGGGGGAGGGAGAGAGAGAGAGAGGAACAGGCAGTGCGACAGCGTTTTCATCTAATGGTTCACTCCCCAATTGCTGCAGTGGCAGGGGCTGGACCAGGCTGAAACCAGGAGCCAGGTGCCTCATCCAGGTTGCCCACATGGGTAAAGCATCCCAAGGACTTGAATCATCATCTGCTTTCCCAGGCACATGAACAGGAGCTCGATCAGTAGAGCAGCTGGGACTTGAACTGGCACCCATATAGGATACCAGCGTTGCAGGTGGTGGATGTGGGGAGCAATCCGGACTAGACTGAGTTACTGGAATTAAGACTTATTCTATGCATCTGCTCTCCCACAATATGGCGCTGGGAGAGAAGTAAACAGCTTCCGCACAGCTGCCTCCAGTTCAACCAATAAACTGTAGGACTTGCTCCTGATTGGAGAGCAGCGTACTCGGCGTGTGGGCAGCCGAGTTAGGATTGGCGGAGGAGGACTATAAAGGAGGAGAGAGACGGCATGCACCGGGAACATCTAAGGGGAACATCTAGCTGAAGGAACACCTGTGCAGCCCCCAGAAAGCCGGCCGGCGGTGTGCCGCTCCCCTGCGGAAGTGGGGAATGTGGCCAGGGGGAACTGCCCTTCCACGGAGGTGGAAGGGATAGTAGCCAACCCGGGAAGAACCAGCAGCAAACCCGGGGAGGGCTGAGCAGACAGAAGAACAGCGCAGGGTCCTGTGTCGTTTCTCCACGAAGAGGGGGAGCGACAGTGGATTAGCCCATTACACCACAGTGCTACCCTCTGTATGCCTCATTCTAACTACATTGTAGGATTTAAATAATTTAGTTCATGTAAGGTACTTAGAACAATAAGATATGTAAATTTTAAAACATTGTACAATGCTTTATATATAGATTTTCATTAGATAAAATATTTGTAATCAAATGGAATATTCATGAATAAATGAGTTAAACTGAACATTATTCTCATTTTCATAGAGATTAATGTAAATACAAAGTGTAGGTTTTTCACAACCAATATTTGTTCATTCATTCAGTAATAATTAAATGGTTCCTTTATGCCAGGCACTGGTTGGAGGTATTGGGAATATGATGATGTAAAAGACTGTTCTTTTAGAGCTTATATAAATATTCACTAACTTATTGAAATATGAGTTCTATTAAAGAATATAACAGAAACCTAAATTAGTTTTGATGGTCAAAGTAAAAGCATTTTCTGATTAGAAATAAGTCAGAAGAATTTTCTTTGATTCAACATATTATTATACCTTTGTTTTGCTTGCTTTGGAAAATAACTGGACCAACAGCCTTTGTATCCAACATAATAGAATTAGCTGCCAGAAAACAAGTAGTTATTTTTTTCAAGTATTCTTTTTTAAAAGATTTATTTATTTATTTGAAGGGCAGAGTTACAGAGGTGCAGAGAGAGAGACAGAGAGAGAGAGAGAGAGAGGTCTTCTGTCCTCTGGTTCACTCCCCAAATGGCCACAATGGCTAGAGCTGGCCCGATCGAAAGCCAGGAGCCTGGAGCTTCTTCCAAGTCTCTAGGCGGGTACAGGGGTCAAGGACTTGGGCTATCTTCTGCTTTCCCAGGCCATAGCAGAGAACTAGATCAGAAGTGGAGCAGCTGGGACTCAAACCAGTGCCCATATGGGATGCTGGCACTGCAGGCTGTGGCTTAACCCACTGTGCCACAGTGCTGGCCCCTCAAGTATTCTTAATGAAAGTAATATAATAATAATAATAATAATAATAAATGAGTGTCTTTACTTCATGTTAGAATTTTTGATAACTTGGAGATCCTGGAATTGAGTTTTTTTTTTTTTTTAAGATTTTTTTTTTTTTATTTGAAAGGCAGAGTTATAAAGAGACAGGGAGAGAGAGCAAGAGATCTTCTGTCCACTGGTTCACTCCCCAAATTTTACAACAGCAGAGCAGGGCCAGGCTGAAGCCAGGAGCTTCTTCCAAGTCTCCAATGTGGGTAGAGGGACCCAAGTACTTGGGCCATGTTCTATTGCTTTTCCAGGAGCATTAGCAGGGAGGGAGCTGGATCAGAAGTCCAGCAGCCAGGACATGAACTAGCACCCAGGTGGCACAGGTGGCAGCTTGATCCCACAATGCCAGCCCTGCAATTGAGATTCTTTAACATACTGTTTCAAATGGTGGTTCTGGTTATGTAGTGATTACTGTAAATATAACTACATTTGGAAACTTCAGTGAATTGAACTCCATTTTCATGTAGAGGAGAAAGGCTTTGAGATTTGGGGAATTCCTGGTTTTAAAATTTGGATTTTATATTTAGAACTGTTTGTATTTCTCTACATGTTAGGTATTGACACCTCAAAAATTGGAATCGTTAAGAGCTGAAATACAACAAGAATTAGAAACGCCAATGAGAGAACGTTTTCGGAATCTGGATGAAGTAAGTAACTCGTGTAGAAGAACTATACATTTATCCCTAAGTAACTATGGAAGTCTTGAGGGAAAGCAACATTCCTTGGCTCAAAAACCTCACAGAACTCCCCTTTCGACTCAGTCATTCGTCCTTATAGCGGCCTCGAAAGCTTCTCAGGGTTGGCCTTTGGTACCCCTCTGGCCCCCACTTCCTCCGTTCCCACTGGCGCCTCGTGCTTCTTTGGCACTTCACAAGTGGTACCATTCTAGTCTTTGCTGTGGAGTGACATGTGCCTTAGCTGTTCTCCCTCTTGATATTTCTTGACTAACTTCTTCATCTCTTGTCAATTTCTGTGAAAATGTTACTTTCTCAATGAGGCCTACATTGACTGCCATCCATTTCCCTATTTAATTTTGTAACCTGTTTTTCCTATCCCTGCTTAAACCATTGGTTCTCCCTTATCCTGCTCTGTTTCTTATTTTCTCTCCAGTACATACCATTTTTAGTATGCTATACAGGGGTACTTTAAAAAGTTTATGGAAAATGGAAAAATAAATTGAATTCCATGCATATGAGGAGGTTTTTTATGATTTATGTATTTATTTGAAAGGCAGAGTTACGGGGTAGGGGAGAGAGAGATCGAGAGAGAGACAGAGAGAGAGAGAGTGCTTCCGTCTGCTGGTTCACTCCCCAAATGGCCACCATGACCCGGGCTGGGCCAGGCTGAAACCAGGAGTCAGGAGCTTCTTTGAGGTCTCCTGCTTGGGTGCAGGGGCCAAGCACTTGGACCATCCTCCACTGCTTTCTAAGGCACATTAGCAGGGAGCTTGATCGAAAGTGGAGCAACTGAGATTTGAACCCATGCCCTTATGGGATGCTGGCACTGCAGGCCTTGGCTTTAACTCACTGTGCCACAGCACCAGGCTTAATAATCTTCCAAAAGTTGATGGGAAGCACATATTATGAAAAAGCTGTACTTAGATTTAAAAATTTTTTTATCCGTCAAAGCAAAGTGTATCTTTAATGAAACTCTGAAGCCCGTTTTCTTGTCTTTAGCTAAAGAGTGACTGTGAACTGAGTGTTTCAGGAGAAACGCTTTCCTCATTACCTGATTTCCTGATGCAGTCGAAGTCTCCTGCAACCTTTTGCCCTATTGTTTGTTCCTGTTGAATATTCAGAAAGGCAGTGTCTTTTGTAGAGTGTAAGGAGGCAGTATGAGAGCACCTCAGGGAATTTTATATGTTCCCAGTTAGTTGGGAAAGATGAAACTAGATATTCTTGAGGCTGATACATTGAGTTGAATTATCATTGTAATACTTGATTGAACCTTAAATGACTGTAGTATTCAAATGATCTTTTATCTACTTTGAATTCATTTTATTTAACTTCTTTTTTTTTTATTTTTAAAGTACACATTTTTCTTTTTTCAATTATTTGGAAAGCAGAGGGACAGAAAGAGAGGATGATCTTGCATTTATTGGTTTTCCTCCTGAAATGTCTGCAACAGCAATGCTGGGCCAGGCTGAAGCCAGAACCTGGTGCTCAATCTGGGTTTTCTGCTTGAGTGCCAGAGACACAAAGAACTTGAGCCATCATCACTTGCTGCCTCCCAGGGTGCACATGAACCAGAAGCTGAAATTGAAAGTAGAGCGATCCATTCTGACGTGGGGTTGTGGGTGTCCCATGGTGTCTTAACTGCTATGCTAAATGCTCACCCTTTGTCTGACTGTAAGAGGATGTCTTATGCTGTATTACACTTTTAAAAATCTAGCTGTATTCTGAAAGATGTGTTCCATTTTTAAATATTTTCTTAAATCTAGAGGTAAAAAATTTTGTCACATTGTGCATTTTTTCAGTTATAATGAGATCAGTGAAGAAATATTAATTGGATGATAGTTTGTTTTATTGGTATATCCTCTGGAGTGTACTATCTCTATAGTTGGGATACTTATGAGGACTTTTCTGAGGTTCATTTGTGTTTCTGTTAAATTATTTTTTTTTACTTTTAGAATGACTCAGTATACTTTAATTTAAAGTTGTTTGCAAAAGGGAGTTTTGAAGTGAGTACAAATTTAATTTATAAATTTTTCATAAATTGCCATCTCCTTTTAATTTAGGAAGTAGAAAAATACAGAGCAGAATATAATAAACTTCGCTATGAACATACATTTCTGAAATCAGAATTTGAACACCAGAAAGAAGAGTTTGCACGTGTTTTAGAAGAAGAAAAAATAAAACATGAATCAGAGGGTGAGTTATTGATTACACTGATTTATTCATCATTGTATAGTTAATAAAATTTTATTATATAATCTTGTAAATTCCAAGTTAGAGTTGATTACATAATTACATTGTATTAATGTGAAATTATACTAATCATGAAGTATAGACTAACAGAGAAAGAGAGAAAGAGAACTTTTCATCTGCTGGTTCACTCCTCAAATGGCTGCAACAGCTGGGGCTGGGCCAGGCTGAAGCCCGGAGCTTGGAACTCTATCCAGGTCGTCTACGTGGATGACAGGGGCCCAAGTACTTGGTCTATCCTCTGCTGCTTTTCCGGGCATGTGGGCAGGGAGCTGGGTTGGGAGTGGAGCAGTCGCTACTTGAACGGTCACTGGGATGCCAGCGTCCAAGCAGCAACTTAACTGGCTGCAGCACAATGCCAGCCCTGTTGGTTTGCTCTTTGTCAATGGTTTTCTGGTGAGTGCTCTTTTCTGGCTATTAGATTTTGCTTTTTCTTTAATTCTTTATTTTGCCTCAGTCAAGAGAGATAGCCAGAATTGGGAATTTCCATTGTACAAAGTCTCTTATCTCCCATAGCCACCGCGGGTACAGTTTATGTGATTGCCTGTTTAATACTTACAACCCCCTATACTTTCTGGAACCAAACCACATCCAGGAGAGTTTCAGCTGTGATGCCGTGCACCTTCTTCCCAATGATATGAACAAGGGATCTAGTACCTTAGTGTGTGCTCATCACCTTCCGGAATTACACTTAATGATTACATCAGGGTCATTGGCTTATATCTCAGATATTTATCTTTTTTGTGTTTATTTTGAAAACATTAAAAATACTTTCTACTAGCTGTTTTGTAATACTAATTTTTTTTAAAATTTATTTATTTATTTCCAAGGCAGATTTACAGAGAGGCAGAGGCAGAGAGAGAGAGAGAGAGAGAGAGGTCTTCCATCGCTGGTTCACTCCCCATATGGCTGCAATGGCTGTGTTGATCCGAAGCCAGGAGCCAGGAGATTTTTCCAGGTCTCCCACATAGTTGCGGGGGCCCAAGGACTTGGGCCATATTCTACTGCTTTTCCAGGCCATAGCAAAGAGCTGGATTGGCAGTGGAGCAGCCAGGACATGAACCAACATCCATAAGGGATGCTGGCACTGCAGGCGGTGGCTTTACCCACTACACCACAGTGCCAGCCCCACAATTTTAATTATTATCAACCATTTTTGTACACTGTGCTGTGGAACATTAGAAGTCATTCCTCTTATCCAGCTGTGCCCCTGTGTCCATTAGTCATCTTCTCTCCCTCCCTCTTGCCTCATACCCTTAATAGGCTTTGGTAATCACTGTTGTATTCTCTACTTCTTTCAGATCCACTTGTTAGCCTCCTCCTATTAAGTGAGAGCTTGCAGTGTTTTTTAATTTTCATTTTATTTCAAAGGCAGAAAAACAGAGACAGAGGTAGGCAGAGATCTTGCATCTTCTGGTTCACTTCCCAGATGCTTTCTACAGCCAGGGTTGGGCCAGGCTGAAGTCTAGAGCTAGGAACCTGGGGCTCTCATACGGATGGCAGGTACACAACTACTTGAGCCATCACCTGCTATCTCCCAGGGTATGCTGGAACTGAAGGCAGAGATGGGACTCAAATCTCTGGGTGCTTGGATGAGGAATGTAGGCATTCCAGTTGGCGTCCAAACCACTGTGCCAAATGCTTACACTAGTATTTGTTTTTCTGTACCTGACTTTATTCAGCTAATGAATGAATGCCTAAATTGTTTCTGTATCTTGGTTATTTTGATTAGTGATGCAGTAAATGTATGAGTGCCGATGTCTCTTGAGTATACTGATTTCGGTTCTTTTAGATACATGTCTGGTAGTGGGGTTGATGGATCATATGGTAGTTCTATTTTTAGTTTTCTGAGAAACCTACACATTTTCTTCCATAATGGCTGTACTGATTGGCCTTCCCACCAACAGTGTATGAGAGTTCTTTCTCTGTTGGCTTGGCAGCATTTTTTTTTTTTTGGTATTTTTATAATAGGCATTCTACCTGGAATTAGGTGATATCTCAGTCTTGTATTATTTTTATTTTTAATGGTTTATTTGGAAGGTAGAGAGATGAAGGGAGGTCTTTCATCTGCTAGTTCACACTTCAAGTGCCTCCAACAGCGTGGGCTGGCTTTGTTGAAGTCATGAGCCAGAAACTCAGTCCAGGTGTCACATATGGATGGCAGGGGCCCAGCTACTGAGCCATCACTGACTGCCTTTCAGGTGTGTATCAGCAGGACTCTAAGTCAGGAACCAGAGCTGGAACTTGAACCTAGGCACCTCAGTATGGGATGCGGGCCTCCCAAGTGGCTTCTTAACCATTGTGTCAAATGTCCACCCCTCACTGTAGTTTTGATATACAATTCCCTGATGTTCAGTGACATTGAACCTTTTTTCATAGACTTGTTGACTGTGTGCCTTCATTTGATAGGTAACCGTCTTCCCTCCTGTGGTTTACTTTCCAAATGGCTGCAGTGGCCAGGGCTGAGCCATGCTAAAGCCAGGAGATTAATCCAGGTCTTCTACATGGGTGGCAAGGGCCCAAGCACTTGGGCCATCTTCCACTGCTTTTCCCAGGCCATTAGTAGAGAGCTGGATAGAAATATAGCAATCTGGACAGAAACCGATGGCCATATGGATTACCAGCATCTCAGGCCTCGGCTTTACTTGCTGCACCACATTGGCCCCTTCTTTGCAGTATATTTTGAAGTCAAGTATTGTAATGTTCCCTATCTCTCCCTCCTGCCCTCCCTCCTTCACTCACTCCTGTCTCTGACTCTCCTTTCTTTCTGTGTCTATCAAACAAAATAAAACAAAAAAATTTTTTTAATGAACTAACCCAAAGTCTTGGAACTATAAAACTCAATAAGTGAAGTAAAAAATGTAGTGCGGGGCATCGATGGCAGAATAGCTCAGGCAGAAGAATATGTGAGCTTTGAAGACAGATGTTTTGAAATATCCCAGTCACAGAAAAAAAAAAAAAAAAAAAAAAAGAAGGAAGAAACCTTGATCCTTAGGAGACACCATGAAGTGAAACAAACTGTCATGTCATGGGTGTTCTAGAAGAAGAAGAGAAGGGAAAAGGCAGAGAAAACCTACTCAAGGGAATAATTACTGAAAACATTCTCAATTTTTGGAAAGAATGGGCATCGAGGTCCAGAAAGCTCACAGGATCTCTTAATAGATTCAACCTAAAAAAGACCACCTCCAAAGGCATACTATTACTCAGACTGTCAAAAGTACAAAACAGAGAATTCTAAAAACAGCTAGAGAAAAGCATCAATTCACAAGTAAAGGAGTTCCCATTGACTAAAACAAACATATCAGCAGTAATTTTACAGATGAGGAAAGAATGGAATGATATATTCAAGGTCCTGAATGAAAATTGCCATCAAAGAATAGTATGTCCAGCAATGCTTTCCTTCAGATATGAAGAAATAAAGCCTTTCCCAGACGAGCTAAAACTGAGGGGATTCGTCACCACCACACCAGCCCAATAAGAAATGCTGTACTGGGGGCCAGAGCTGTGGCGTAGTTTGGGTAAAGGCACCGACTGCAATGCCGGCATTCCACATGGGCGCTGGTTCAATTCCTGGCTGCTCCACTTCCGATCCACTTCCTATTTCTGCTATGGCCTGGGAAAGCAATAGAAGATGGCCCGAGTCCTTGGGCCCCTGCACCTGCGTGGGAGAGTCAGAAGAGGCTCCTGGCTTCAGATCAGCTCAGCTCTGGCCTTTGCGGCCAACTGAGGAGTGAACTAGTGGATGGAAGACCTCTCTCCCTCTGCCCCTCTCTCTGTATAACTCTTTCATACAAATAATAAAATCAATCTTTTTTTTTTAAAAAAATGCTATACTGACTAGCTGTTCCTCTATTTGTATTCCTGTCCTTAAGCCCCCGTATTCTCAAAGACACAACAGTGTTGAAATTAGGCCAGTTGATAACTCTGCAATGGTTTCTAAGTACTCAAATGAAAGGAAGAGTCTTACATCTCTCACTTTAAACAAAAAACTAGACATGACAGAGCCTAATGAGAAAGCCATGTTGAAAGCCAGGATAGGCTGCTAGCTAGGTCTCTTGCTCCTAACAGTTAACCAAGTTGTGTATACAAAGGAAAAGTTCTTGAAGGAAATCAAAGGACTGTTCCCAGTGAACACAGGGATGATAAGAGTGCAAACAGTATCATTGCTTCTATGGAGCAAGTTTCAGTGGTCTGAACAGCAGATAAAACCACCACAATATTTCCTTAAGCCTAAGCCTAATGCAAAGCAAAGCCTCTGCAGTTCTGCGCAGAGAAGGCATCTGACTACAGAGGCTGGTTCATGAGATGTAAGGAAAGAAACTGTCTTCATAATATAAAAGTATAAGGTGAAACAGCAAGTGCTACTGTAGAAGCTGCGGCAAGGTAATCGGAAGATGTAGCTAAGACACTGAGAAAGGTGGCTGCACCAAACAATGTACTCCCATTGCAGATGACACAACATTCTATTGGAAGAAGATGCCATCTAGGACTTCTGTAACCAGAGAGATTACTTCTGGCCTCAAAGGCCAGGCTGACTTGTTAGGGGATAATGTAGCTGGTGACCTTATAAAAGTCCATGCTCATGTACCACTCTAAAAATCCTAGAGCCCTTAAGGATTACACTAAATCCTCTCTGCTTGTGCACGGCACATGGAAATACAAAGCCTAGATGAGTTCATATCTCTTCACATCAAGATTTACTGAATATTTTAAGCTCACTGTTAATCTGCTGCAAAAGCAGTTTTTTTCTTTCAAAATATTACTGTTCATTGACAATGCACCTGGTCACTAAGCGCTCTGATGAATATATTCAGATTAATATTGTTTTCATACCTGTCAACATAACATCCAGTCTGCAGTTCATGGATGAAGGAGTAATTTTGACTTTCAAATCTTATCATTTTAGAAATTTGTACATTTTATAAGGCTGTAGCTGCCATAGG